GGGGGGGGGGGGGAGGTCCCAGAGCTGGAAGCTTCTAGAGAGATGTCCGGGCAGGACATTTTGTGATTCCCGTAGGATAGGCCACGCCTCCTGGCCCGGTCCTACCGGGGCAGCCAGAAACACACTTGGCAGTCTGCAGGGAAGGTGGCTACACCATGGTAACTCTTCACTAACTACGGGAAACCCACGTGGCGCGGCAGCCTGGCCTCGCCTGTCGTCCTCCCCCTGCACCCGGCGTCACCTGCGCCACCCGGTCCCTGAGAAGCATTGCCGTTCAGAATGGGGACACTTCCTTCTTCTCACCGTCACTGTCCCGACACCCTCGTGACCAGGCAGGCAGGGACAGGGGTGGATTCGCAGTGAGTCATTGTGCTCAGAGCCAGTGTGGAGCCTGGGGCCGACCCGCTCCCAGGCCCGTGCTCCCTTCGGGTCCCGCTAGGGAGGGAAGCACCCGGAGCCGGGTGGCCGCGGAGCTGGGGTGGCCCCGGGAAGACTGAGTGAGTCAGCAGGATGGAGGAGGCTGGGTGACAGGACCCCGGGTGTGTGTGCGCACACGTGTTGGGGGAGCTGACCAGCGGTCACCTGCGCGCGTCCCACTGGCGGCGGGATGCGGAGAGCCCCCCGCCGGCCAGGAAGGGTCCTGCAGAGGAAGTGTGTGCGCTGGGGGTGGGAGGAGTCCCCGGTCTCAGATCCCGGCCCCAGGGCTGCTTCCTGGGCGGTGTCTGCTCTTCTGACCCAGCACTGAATTTGCTTCTGGGGCTCGGAAGATGGAGGGGAGGAAGAGTGGGCCTTGGGGACTCTGCCCTGATGGGCCCTGGGGGCTCCGAGCGCAGCTGCGGGGCACTGCCCTCGGTGGTGCGGTGCTGACACAGGGCCAGCCCACCAGAGGGCCGTAGACACCCCTGCTGCCGCCGCCATCTTCGGGGCCCGGCGTGAGCTTCCTCTTACAGGAAGCCACCCTTGACCACTCTGGGCCTCAGGAATCTCCTTTGACTTAGCAGTCAGCAGAACGCGGCGTTTTTCTTTGCTGCCTCTTTTATT